TCTCAAAGACTGCTTTTTCACAATACCTCTCAATCCACAGGATGCACCGTGTTTTGCTTTTTCTGTTCCCTCACTTAACAATGCAGAACCTTACAGGAGATACCACTGGACAGTATTACCTCAGGGCATGAAGAATAGTCCTACACTCACTCTGTCAGCAATTTGTAGCAACCGTGTTAAGTCCAATCAGAAAACAATTTGACACTGTTTTACTGTATCATTACATGGATGACATTTTGATTGCAGCAGAATCAGAACAGGAAGCAAGACAAGTGCAGCAAGAAGTAATCCATGCAGCTTTAGCAGCTGGACTTAAAATAGCAGAGGTCAAAATGCAAGAAACTTTGCCCTGGAAATTTTTAGGGTGGCAGATATCAGAGCAAAGTGTTCGGCCTCTGAATGTCACTCTGCAGACTGAGATAAAAACCTTAAATGACTTACAGAAACTGCTAGGAACAATAAACTGGTGTCATCCTCTGTTGGGGATTTCTACTGAAGACCTACATCCCCTTTTCAAGCTGCTGGAGGGGGACTCAGATTTAACATCTCCACGGCAACTCACCCCTCTAGCAAAGACTGTTCTTGATGTAGTAATCAAAAAGCTAACCACTCAGACTGCTTTTCGTCACAAACCAAACTTGTCTATTAACCTGTTTGTCTTTTATTCCAACTTTTCAGCCCTACGGTCTTCTAGTATAGTGGATGCCACAGGACACATGCCCACTGATCATCATCGAATGGATCTTTTTGCCACATAATTTTGGGAAAACAGTCACCACAGCTGTAGAAATGATAGCCATGGTTATTCAGAGAGGAAAGGAATGCTTGCTAACTTTAGATGGTGCTGAACCTAGCACTATCTATTTACCCTTTGACACCAGTTAACCTTTTAGACTAACCAGTCTTTTGTCTTTCAGCGTGCCCTTGCAGATTTCACAGGACAGCACCTCCCAAGTCACAAAACATTGCAATTTTTTCTTCTCTTCCTGTATGTCCCCAATTGCATTTAGCCTAGATCACAGAGAACACCCATATTTTATGTCGTGACGAGGGAAGAAAGAGACGCTCGATATGAGAATCCACAAGCTTCATTTATTGAATATTGCCAACAGCCTAATATACACCTTATAATAGGCTCATACATATTGCAGAAACTGAGTTCATTATTGGTGCTTACTTAAATGCTGATTGCACTTTTACTCCCTTCTTTTGTTGACACAGGTGGCTCCCAATTGCTTTTGTTTTGCTAATCACAACCTCCTGTTTACCAGCCAGTTTTAGCACGTACAAGGACACTGCTGCTTTCCCATGGCCTTGCTGTCTCAGATTTTCTCATGGGCCTAGACAAGCTGCGTTCTATATTCTAACAGCTCGTCCATAGCTTTAGCCATGTCCATATGTCCCTGTGCTGCCAACCAATCCTCTATAATTTTATACAGCACATAAGGTTTTACCAGGACCAATCAGCAAAGGCAATGCACAAGCAGACAAACTTGCAGGCTTTACAGTGTTCCCAGACCAATTTGCACAAGTTTGCCTTTCCCACAATTTTTATCACCAAAAAGCAAAACAGAATAAAAATGCAGAACATGTGTGCATGAAGTGTGAGAGGGCAGCCGCCTGTATGAGTGGAAAAATGTGCATGTGTGAAAATTCAAGAACACTCGATATCAACAATACCTCAAATAAAAACATGCTTATACAACAATACTACCTCAACCACACCAATGTCCCCAGAGAACAGTTTGTCAGCAGATTTTGCCTGCACCTTCTATTGACACTAACCCTCGAGGTCTCTCTTCAAAAACAAAAAAGGGGGAGTGCAGAGTTAACCCCACAGGAACGTGTTGCCAAAGCCTGCTATGTATTAAATTTTTTAAATCGCTATCCACCGTCACTTTAACATAGATGATGTGAAACCTCAGGAAAAAGCCCAAGTTAAAATTAAAAACTTGCAAACAAATCAGTGGGAAGGACCTTTTCCCATAATAACATGGGGAAGAGGGTATGCTTGAGTTTCTACAGGTTCTGGTCCAAGATGGGTGCCTGCAAGATGGGTCAAACCAGCATTGCCACAGCCATCCACGTGATTTGCAGCCTGTCTCCTGCTATGGTGTTCTGGACCCGCCTGGTTGGAGAGCCAGCTGGCAAATGACAAATCCCTAAAGCACCGAGGCACAGCACGAAATCCTTTGGTGGAATAAGGGACAATTGGGATGGCTGGGTTCTTTATTTGCCTGATGTAAGGCTTAACCTTTTTGGGGATCTCTTTAAGGGATGAGGGTTAAATAGTTAGTTAAATATATGTTGCAGTTAGGATTGGTTTGCCTGTATATTTTTATACTGTGTTTATTGAAATGTTTATAATGTTTCATAGATGGAACAATTAAACAAGTGTCCTTAAAAAATAAAGAAGGTGGAATTGTGGGGAATATGCAGGCCGAAGGCCTGGAAAGAACCAGACCTTAGCAGCAGGTTTCGGGCCAAGCAGAGTACAGAGCAACTCATCACAGGAATGAGTTGCAACCTCGAAAGCCTGCCATGTGCCCATGTGACAGGTAGCAGCCAATTAGATGCTGCAGTTACAGTTTTTGTCTTATAAGGAATACTTGCATGTTTGTGTTGGTTATAAAAGGCTGTGTCCTTTGAATAAAGTTGTCTCAGTTCCTCTCCCCCTGAGTCCATGCCTTCAATACACCACACCCTGTAGATCCAGATGAGGTCCAGTGTACACAGTCCATATGGTGGAAATTTGTATGGAGCGTGCCATCGCTGTATGCCAACTCATTGGCATTGATGTCATCAAAAGAAGGAGAACAGAGTGGATAATTTGGTTACCAAACTCCAGCTATATGAAGAAAGTAACTCTTTCCTCGTATGGGCCTGCATCTCATCCATAGAAAGACTGTCCAAGGGCCTCCAACAATTTAAAGAGGACTAACAACAATTTAAAGGAGTGTTCCATGCCCCGCCAGTACAGACCAGAGTCTCTGCTATTGGAAGCAAGCGCCCCTCTGCTTGAGAGAGAGGATACACACCATGAGGTAACCAGTGGTTTTACCTGCATGACCACAGAGAGGACATGAGGAAGTGGGATGGAAAACCCACCTCTGCCCTAGCAGTACAAGTACGTGACTTGAGAGGAAGAACAACCACAGGAGGAAATTCTTCAAGGATAAATGCCACTCCAGTTTCCAGTGGTCTTCAGACAGAATAGAAGGGCTGATGTTACTTCTGATCCTCTTGAACGGACTGCCAGTTCATATTTACAGGAAGTGAGCAATGAGCACTGCGACCACAACTAGAGGGGCCCTGCCTCCAGTCAAGTGGAGGATAGGGACAATCAGATCTATTGGGCTGTGTGGATCCAATGGCCTAGCACATCAGACCCACAAGAATATAAGGCTTTAGTTGAC